ACCAGGCTTCCCAGTCCTCAGGGAGCTGAGGCAGGAGGATCACTGTGAGTTCAAAGTCAGGCTGGGCTACATAGTGTGTTCAAAGGCAGCCTAAACTATATAGTGAGACCTTGTCTCCAAAAAACTAAAAAAGTTTACAAATTAAACTTAAAACCAGTAACAACTTTCTGCGGCTCACCCAACAGTACACCCCACCCCTGAGGATGGGTGTAAGGAGCCCCATGCCCGTGAAGCCCTGCTGGATGAGGGCACATCTACTGTGGCAGGGGCAGGCATGCCAGCTCTTCCTGAGAGGAAACTCTGTTGGGGGCCAATTCTTCCTGCTGTGCACACCTCCACAAAAGGGCCTTTCTGCCAGAGATGAGCTAAGGAAGGACATGAGGTTGCAAGACAAAGTTAAATTCTTTGATACTGGTGGCAGCATTAGTAGGTATTCAGAAACCAGCAAGGGACCACTTTCTGAGAGGTCACGATTAGGCCTGTATTCCTATTACTGGAGAAAATCGGGGATTAATGGTGATATTCTTCATTTTACAAATGACAGTCAAATGCTTATGCAATATAAATTGCCCAAACTATTCCTTTTTTTTTTTTTTTCCTTGCGACATAGTTTTGCTATGTAGCACAAGTTAGCCACAGACTCAAGAGCTCCTTCTGCCTCAGCCTCCCAAGTGCTGGGACTGCAGGTGTGCACTCCTGTGCTCAGCTTCTCTTTTTGGTCCTGGGTATTGAAACTAGGCTTTTACACTGATCTATATCCCCAGCTTTTTTCCATTTTTTCATTATGTGACATAGTCTCCCTGAGTCATTAAATGGACAAGGATAAGTCCAAAATTGTGGTCCTCCTGCCTCAGCCTCCCAGAGTCCTAGGATTATAAGCAAGGGCCAGTATGCCCAGGCAACTCTCAAGAATTTTAATGTGCTGTAATTGCATTTATATTTGTGCATCTAGTTGTAGCTACCAGCTTACTGCAGAATAAACTATATGAGGGTAGTGCCTTGTTTTTCCCCTTGATTACTTATTTTTTTCCCTGCAGTACTGGGGATCAAACCCAGAGCCTTGGCCATGTTAGATAAGCACTCTACCACCAAGCTATACCTCTGGCCTGATTTACTTATTTTTAATTCCTAACATAGGGTTAGACAGTATAGTAGGTGCTCATTAAATGTTTTATATAAATGAATGATGAATGAATGTGACTGAACAATATACATGAAATCCGGTAATTCCAGGAAGACATCAATATCATGCCAAATGAAATGGCTGTGGGCCTCTGAGGCTCAGGAAACCACGCTGATTGCAGAGAATTTGGAAAAGGACCCCCCACTCCAGAAGGTGACCTGTTAGTAGTTGCTACCCAGCTGGAAGAAGTAAAGGTCAGACAATGGCACAGGTGGCTTCACAGACATGAGGAATGAAACCACAAATGAAAAGGAGGACTCGATCCATCTATTTCCGGGTATACTTGCTGGCCAACAGGAGCTGCATTCCTTTGAGCTGAGCATGAGTGTAATTTCCAGCCTAGGTAGCAGAATGGAATTTGGAACAAATAGCTCAGCAGAAAAAGATACGGAGACAAAGGCCCAGCTGGCCTTGGCCAGAGCTTCGGCGCACAGGGTGCTGGAGCTCAGCAGGGCTTGTCAAGGGAAATAACTGACATCCACTGAATTGTACCATTTGGAGGACCCAGGGAGAAATCCTCACGTGCAGACAACTTTAGGTCTTTTGAAGAGCTGCTGAAATATCTGGAATGGGCCAAGTAGTTATCACCATTCACCTTTTCCACCTGGCAAGGAAAAACAAAGGTCAGTTTAGGGCTAGGGAGGGGGAAGGTCCAAATACACTCAAGATGCAAAGAGGAAGACGCTTTCGTTAAGAGAGCTGGAGGGTGCTTTACCACGGAGATTGGTGATGGGGAGGGAGTGGTGATGGAGGACTGAGGGAGCTGTGTAACAATGCAGAAGGAAGGCAGGGGAGATTTAAAGAGGTCAAATTAGAGCTGGGTGTGGTGGCACAGGTGTGTAATCTCAACACTCTGGGAGGCTGAGGCAGGAAGATTTGAGCCTAGCTAGGGCAACTTAGTGAGACACTGTCTCAAAAATTTACAAATGGGCTGGGGATGTAGTTCAAAATGGAGGCTCTTAGTTCCAGGGCAAAGCAACTAAAGAAAAAAGGCTCCTTCACAGAGGAGGATCAAGTTCTGGGGCACTGAAAAATGTTCTGGGAGCCAGATGTGCTGGTGTCTGCCTGCAAGGATTCTAAATTCAGTGCTCTGGAAAGATCCTAAATCTAAGCTCAGCCTAGGCAATTGAGCAAATCAACAAGAACCTGTCTGAAAAATAGAACATAAAAAGGGGGAGGGCAGGGGAAGGAGCTCAGTGCAAAGGCTCCCGGTTCAATCCACAGTACGGGGTGGGGGTTGGGCTGCAGCGTCAGCCCTTACTGCCTCAGCTACTGTTCCTTCTCTGCATGCTGAGTTATTCGTTCCTTCAGGATAATGATGTATTATTGATGGGGACCTAAGAAAGGGAGGGCTGCATGCAGGTTACTTGTATCTAGCCCTTCTGGATTATGAGGGAATTAAAACTACTCAATTTTGAATAAGACACATTGTCTTAAATAAGTGCATCAGATAAAGAAAAAAGGAAGGAGGGAAAGGGGAGGAATGAAAAAAAGGGACAGGAAGGGAGAAAGAAAGAAGGAAGACAAAATAGTTTTGATTAGAGAGGTTGAAGTGGAGCACTGATGATTATCCTGGGCAGTAAGGATTGTGGCCATAGCCCCGGAGGATGTGTGGTGTCACAGGACATCACCGAGGGACCATCCGAGGGGGCTGGGGCAGTTTATGTGTGGGGAATATTATTGGTGTGAGCCATATCTTGGATTTGCTTCGCTGACATATTTAGACCTTCGTTCTTTAATAGCAGAGGCAGTTCACTGGGGGAACTGTAAAGGCAAAGACACCTCATTTACTGGCTGGGCTCTATCTACCCCATTTGGCTACTCACAAATCTCTGAGTCATTTCCTCAGGGGTTGTGACAGCTGGCTTCTGGTCTCAAAGGAGGAAATGGAACGCTGAAACACTTGTCTTTTTCATTCGCAAGGGTAGGCAAGTGGTAAAGCTAGGTGTTGCGCGGATATTTTGGCTCCCACCTCCTTGATACGCAATTTTCTTCTTGGGGACAAGAGCGAAGAACAAAATGTAGCAACAGTCCAGACTAAAGTCAGGGCAGGATGACCTCTGAAAAGATCGGCCATCTCACCCCCACTGCGTGTTAGGCATTGTCCAGGCAGCTAACAGCGACTCCCTTTCCCCTATCTTTAAAAACCAGCGTTGGGGGCCGGGGTGATGGCTTGGTGGAATAAGCACTTCCCTGACAAGCGCAAGGACCTGAGTTCAATCCCGGATCCGCCAAAAAAAGAACCTGTGTTACCATTTTCCAAACAAGTTGGAGGGTAATATCTACTATGATCTATCTAGTGGAAGGGAGAGTTCAACGTCGATATTCTTGCATCCACCTACTGGTTTATGAAAAATCTTTCAGTAAGTGGGACTTAAACTTTCAGCCCACCGCTCTCACTTTCATAGCAATCATCCTGAACATACGAAAAGTAATGGTTGCCAGACCCCAGGTGAAAATGGAGACAGAGGCAGAGCGTGAGGGACAGTCTCTCACACTGCTGGCTTAACACAGAGCCTTTCCATTCCGTGAAAGTTCGACACAGTTGGCTGCCGGCGGGCAGACACACGTGTAACCTACACATGCGCCCGGCGGAAACACGCCCGCCCCTCCAGGCGGGTACCCTTCAGCCAAGTCACCAACCAGCCCCCAAATGCCCGCCCTCTAGGCAAACCCTCGGCTAATCAGGAGATCCGTCTTCATTACGTCACCTATTTTGCATATGCCCGTTTCTCCCCGCCCCCCACCGGGCCCCGCCCCTTCGGAAGCGAGTATTGTCACCTAAGCTCTTCGTTTTGACACCTGATTGGCTCTTTACTCCACCCCGCCTCCGTCTCCCCCCGTCGACCGCCCCTCGGCGCGCCCACAGCGACGGACGGAGCTAAGTGCGCAGGCGCGGGCACCGCCCCTCTCGGCTGGAGGCCCGCCCTCCGTCCTCCCCCTGCCTTCCCCTGTCCCCTTTCCCCACCCCCTCTCCCCACCTCTCCGGGCCTGCGCGCGCGTCTCCTTCAAGCACGCGCTGCCCTAGCTGAGCAGTCTCGTCGGAGCCTTTGGTCTGCGCGTTCCTTTTCCTCGCCTGTGGGACCGGCCCCCGCACCAC